AATTAGGAATCAGTGCTTTATAGCAAAGCAAATATTAACAGTTATATTATGTATTTGAAAAGATGTTTAAAGATTTCCAAGATCTTAGTATTATACCTGTTGAATTCAGAGCCATTTTACACTAAATTCAATAAAAATAGCCAGAAAGAATATCTAGAAAGAATCAGAGGGTATGATTACTGCCACTCATGAGATGAAATCCCCTTTAATATTTGACAGAAAGGGGAAGAAAAATGAATATCAGAAACAGCACTCCTATTCTCACTTCTTTATGATTAGCTGTATGTTTTAAAATAAATTTAATACAAGTGGAGGGGGAAAAGGCATGTGTTTTGCTTTATTCAAACAGCATTTGCTTACACTTAAATCTAATTTTATTTGAATAATTTGATCAAAAGCAATATAAAATTTACTTAGAGTCATTTCTATCATCTTCAACACAAAACCCAATACACTGTTTACTATTTGAAAAAAACACATTGAAAATGAACAAAAAATAAAATAAAGCCAAACTTCAGAAGAATATGATGAATAAACTGCTCCTCCTCTGACAATGTTATCTCAGAAGCTCCAAGCAATGAATATTTCAAAAGTGCTTGATGTCATAAGCTTTAAAAGAACATCTTTGAATCAAAATCTCACCTGACCTAGGAAGGAAAACTGAAATCTAACAACAAGTAACATATACTTCATAGGCAAAAACAGAGAAAACACTCTTGAGATGAGCTCCAGGTGAAAATGATCAGCAGAATAATCAACTGAGCCAACAATCAGCTGCCCTCATGGCATCTCTGAAGCCATGAATTTTTTCACAGACTCAATATCCATGCCAGTACTAAAACAACAGTGCCTTCACCTCAACCACATCTCACACAAGACTTTCAGTGGCTGTTAAAAAGCACCCATGTGAGCACCAGTGTGGGACTTTTGCTGTGCTCTAGGTCTTACTCTACATCGGGAACATCCACTTCCACCCTCAGGGCAAGACTCTGTTCATCTGCTCCTGGCATGGGAGACCTCCTGCATTTCACAGAGGAATGCACAGCAGAGACTTCCATTAAATATCCATGCCTTAGTTCTGAAGTACCTGAGTGGCACAGCAAACTGTGTCCAGCAGTATCATTTATCCATGTTTTGGCCTCGTGCAAAACCCCAATCCCATCTTTTAGAACATTTATACATATGTAAGTCAAAAATACTGCTACACTCGCATACATACGCAGTGAAGAACTTCTATGGTTTTGTCCAACATCACTCAAAGTAAACTGGAACATTAATAAAATTAATCTTATCCCAAACACTCTTCTTGATTAGTTTCCCTCTACTCATTACTTCAATAAATTGAAGAGAGCAAGTCCCCAGGAAACAACCCAGCCCTTGGCTACTGTGAAACCAGCCTCATCACACAACAGAGCATTTCACCTCTTTTGGCCAATTCAAATTTATTATTGAAGATAAGGCTCATAGTTCCAAACAGCAGTGGCAGCCACATACTAAGTGTGCAGAGGAAAAAAGCCTTGTTTGCATGTCATGTAGCTCCTCTTCTTCATAAGGAGTAGACACATCACCTACTAAATCAATCTCTCAAGATGGATAATAATTTCTCCTTTGGATACTTAAATATATGCAAGAATTTGACTGTCTGTGTCTCCACTGCATTCCCTGATGTTGATTATAGCTGTATCTTGAGGCATGATCTGTTTTGGTTTGGTTCTTTAATGTATGCTTTCTCGGGAAATCTGCAACAGGAATGCAGAAAATATAGGTAGGCCACAACGACAGTAAGGGTTTCTGACTCTTCCAGTAATGGTAAGCAAACTCAGGGAAAATACAGGAGTTCGTCTTTGTAATTATGCTGAGCCAGTGCCACAACGTACTGCCAAAGGTACAGGCTGATGTAGCAGACTCACATTGGGATGTAACCCAACCACATTCAATCCTCTCCCTGGGAAACCTGAACTGAAAGCATAGCCATGAGAAGGGACAAGAAACATGACACATTAAATCCATTTGATGTTTCCTATCATTCACTACAACTCCTTATCTTTTTAACAATGCATGCAAGCAGACCTGGCAATGACTACTGGTAAGAGCTCAGGCACAAGGACCAATGCTAAAATACAAGCATTATCTGAGCACTTCAAAGGGAAGAACTGAGAGCAGACTACAGCTCTTGTTTATTTGTCTTAATATTCAATCTAAGATGAATAAATAGAAATGACACTCAACTGGGTTGGGCCGACTAGAAAAATCCTGCTTAACTGTTGGTGTGTTTAATTTTGCTTACAAGTCTTTCAGTCAGTGCAGGAAACCTATGCCCAAAAAGCCAAAAAGCATGTCTAAGTAAATACGAAAAAAAATTAGGAATTAAACATAATTTCTGAGTTTGCCCTGATATTTCTGAATCAAGTCAACATCTTCTCTAATTATAGAGATTTCCATAGTATTAACCCAAAAATGCATATTATAAAGTTGAATATGCTGTACTTTGGAAATCTCAGATTCAAAAGTTACAAGCCAAGTGGGATACAGAACATTAAAGACGATACTAAAATAGCCTTACAGTGAACTCTATGACAGCCACTCCTAAATTTTTTAAATTAAGAACTATACACATTGTAAAATAAAGTATAACTATGCAGGAAGGCTTTCTGACAAGTATCAAGTAAAAGATAAAGAAAACATGTGACGATAAAGGGTTTTGAATAATAATCTAGAAGTGGATGTTCTAAATTAAATCTTTACCTCAAGTCTCACTTTCCTCTTTCTTTACAAGTTCCTCACAGGAAAAGAAGCATTTCTTTTTTTTCCTATCAGACCTTGCTAAAACTCAGTTCTTAAGCCACGTAAGAGTGAAAACCCGACTGTAAGTGAAAGTCTAGAGCACCATGTTCTTTAATTCAGTGATGGGGACCTTCATTAGATTATATCATAGCTATAGGACAAGACACTGCAAAAGCCAAATGATACATCATTAAATTATGTTTTCTTCCTCTCCAGGCAAAGAGTGAGAATAGCATTAGATTAGTTTGAAGGACTAAAAAAAAAACCGAAGAAAAGGGGCTCTGCAACATGAATCAGAAGTGACAAAGCTAATACCATTTTTAAACTCTTTTTATTTATATAATCAGGCATAAGCACTTACTTATATTAATTGTGGAAACCTCAAATGTAATACATAGCCCAAATGAATTCCACATCAGTGCATACTTCAGTGTTTCATGATCTCCCTTGCACATGCCTAGTGAAAGTCTGCCACTCTGCAACAGATGAAGGAATTACTACAATAAAGCCATAGGCAGACTTTGCTATGAACTATACTTTTTTTGATATGAGACAGAATAAGCTGAGTGTTTTAAGTAACAGATAGGTTTGCATCCTACTGTCTAGCAACAGTTATTCTGTTTGTGTTTCATAGCATCTTCAGAGAATCAGAAATATGAACCAGAGAACACTATCTGTAAACTGAAACAAATGACATTCCCCTCAGCCAACTTACACTCAATAATCTCCATCCACCATTACAAGAAATGCTTACTTTATCTTTCAATTATAAACTTGAGTTAGTTACATGTTCACCATATGGACATCACAACATTTTTTAATCATATTATGTCAATATTGTATTTATGAAAAAAAGTGTATTTCAGTGCACGAAAAGATCTCTTGCTGCTGACAAATCAAAGTGTATTAACCTGGGAATCCTTAAGATTGCCACATACGCCCACACACTCCTTTTGCTTGAAATCTCACTGATTAGAAAATGAAAAATCCAAAACTCAACAGCTATTTCATGCACACCAGCATTTCTGCAGGACATGTTTCCAACACGGCAACTTATAGTTTCATCACCATTAGCAAGTCATTTCCTACACACATACCATGCCCTGCTGAAACTACCACAGTCAGTGGAACGGAGCTCCTAGTGAAACATCAGAACTTAGCTATAAATCTGTGTAAATGCTTTTATTCTGTGCTGCTTTCACGTTAGAACGCAACATGCATCAAGGTCATTGTAACAGATTGCAGTTTTCAGTCTCAGAGAGATGACACGGAGGAAATCAATATGAGCAAACTTAATTAAACACTGTCTTAAGTTTTGCCGTCTCTCAAACCTGCCCAGAATTCACATCGCTATTCCCTGCGTTTCAGAGACAGGTGTTTCATAGATATGGGAAGGCAGGCAGCTTAGCTTATACGTTATCACTGATGAAAGGCGAACAAAATTCATTCTTTACAGTGTGACAGGTCTGCTCTGAGCTCTCTGAGTTTTTAGCTGGAGATTACAGCCCCATTGGCCTCCTTCTTTGAAGTGGAGTTCCTCTGAGAGCAGAATTAGTCCCCTGCCTGCAACCTGTCCTCCATACATTGAAATAAATTACAGTCAACTTTTTTTTCATGGCTATGTCAAGTATAGCAATAAATATCCACAGGCTAAAAGTAAGCAAACAAACAAGGCTGGACAAACCATAACCTCACAGCAAGAGCATCTCAAAGAAAATCATTAGGCAGGGCACAAAAAAGTTAAAGGCAAAAAAATCAAAACTCTGGGTTCACTGAATTCATAAGTGAATATGAAAGGCTGACAAGCATCCTGCTTCTTTCCCACGAGAAGCACTGATAGAGAGCAATTAAAGGACTCCTACAATTTAGTTACAGCTCAGCACAAAGGAGAAGGCATTTTATATTAACGCCTGTAAGAAGGCATCACCTCTTAGAGTTGCAGAAGTGGGAAGCGCTGGGACACGGAGCTTCCTGCCCAGCTGTGCGCCGGAGCACCGCATCAGCGGGATGCCCGTGGCGGACTCCGGCGGAGTTGGAGCGGGGCTCCCCCGCAATCCCGGTCATCAACCTCCCGCAACTCAGCCCCTGAGAACTGCCGCTGGCGCCGCCGACCATCCTGCCTCCAAACCAGGAGCGTGCGACCAGCGGCTGCAGAAAAAAAAGTCGCTCGAAACGAAGAGAAGGCAGCGAAAAGGCAACAAAAAAGGAGCGCTTACTTGCCTATACAGCACCGCCGGACGACCTCCTCGCAGCTGGTGAAACGCTGTGCCGCTCGCCCTCCTCCCACCGCTCCGCGCTAGTTCCAAAATAATTCCACCGGGCGCCGGCACATCCCCGGGCTTAGCCGAGGAGCGCAGGGAGCCCGGCCGCCTCGCCCCCCCGCCCGGTGCCCATGGTGCCAGCCACAGCCCCGGCAACTCGCGATCCTTCCCGCCGGCGCTACCTCGGGGCGGGCCGCCGGCTAACACGGCATCGCACCCCAGCCCCAGCCGCCGCCGCGGGCTCCAACTCCGCCGCCGCGCCGAGGGGGGAGCGTGGGGGTCCCCGCGCCCTTGCCAGAGACGAAGCGGGGGCGCCGGGTGGGGGAGTGCGGGGAGGCAGCGCCGCCCCTCCGCGGCGGCGAGCGGCCAGGCGAGGCGCGGCGAGGCGAGGGGAGGCGAGGCGGCGCCGCCGCCAGCGCGGCCGCAGCCAGGCGCGGCGATGCGGCCCCGCCCGGGACCCCCGGCCGCCCCCCCCGCTCCTGGGGCGCTCCGTAACGCCGCCCCCCTGCCGGCGCCACCAGATCCGGTGACGCGCAGCCCTCCCCCGGGCGGCCCCCGCGCCGGAGAGGGGCGAGCGGGCGGCGAGGCGGGTGCCGCTTCCGACCGGCCCCGGGAGGGTGAGCTGAAAGCACCGGTGAAAGAAGCAGCCCGTCCCGCCGCGGCGGCCGGCGACCCCCGGCGAGCAGGGGCAGCGAGCGCCCGGGCTCGGCCCTGGAGCTGCCGGCCCGCCGGGGGGCGGCGGTGTTCCCCTTGGTCGCGGGAGTGCCCGGAGCCCACGGAGCTCTCCCCGGTCCTGCGGGGCTGAGGCTGCCCGCTCGCCCCATTGCCCCGGCGGAAAAGTTATCCACCTCCCCCCCTCCTCAGTGAGCCTCCGCTTTTGCTCGATTGCCCCGGGTGCCTTTTCTCCCGGCCGTGTGACTGGGTATAGGTTGGCCGCTCGCCAGAGGGAACGTACATCGACCCCCACGTTGGGTAGAAATTTGGTGCCGGTTCTACCACTTCGCCAAGCTGGCTTGGCGCGGCAGCGGCGCTGCCTTCTCCCCGCCTCGCCTCCCAGCCACTAACTGGGGGCACGTCTCTGCGGCCCTCACCCCTCACCGGCGAACATCCAACCCGTTCTGCCGGGCTGTTTCGGACAAGGAGGGGGCCCAAGGGGAGCAAAGGGGTGAAGGACAAGCTCCTCTATGCCTCCCTAAAGCCCTCGGTGTCTTCGCCCTCCTTCTCCATACATCCGTGCTTCCAACGGGGCACACGGCGCCTCGCTGGAGATCCCCTGCAGGCATCGCCTTCCCCGTCGGACAGCGCTGCGATGACACAGAATAACGCAGCTATGAGTCAGTCACGCACACACCCATATATATAATACATATATATACATGTATATGTATGAACACAACTCCCGCGGCTGCCGCGGGGGAGCCGCGTGTCGCCGCGGGACGGGACCGCCAGGCATCGACCTGCCCCCGCGAAGGCAGAATTAACGCAGGAGGAAAAAGGAGCAAGAGGGAGCGCAGGGGAAGCCGCCACCGGAGCCGTCTCTCAGCAGCCCCCTCCCCCGGAGGGTGCCGGCAGCCGGGCTCGCCGCAACGAGCTCTGAGGGATGCTGCGGGCAGGGAATCCCGCAGGTTTGCGGCCGCTCAGCGGAGCGTTCGCGACTGCTTGTTGTGAGGGAGAGCCAGCCCGTCGGGGGGCTTTTGCTGAACTGGGAATGGGGGGAGCAGCCGTGGTCTCATCCGCATTCTCTGGGCCCCCTTCCAGCTCTTGGAAATGTTTTTCGTAAATTAAGCTGGGAATGTCGAGGGCGGGTGGTGACAAAGTCCGGTAAAAGGCATTTGAGCTTTCCTTTTCTGTAGATCCTCTCATAGTCCTTGTTAACTGGTTTAAGCTTCTTGTAATGAAAAGTGATTTTCACAGGCATCTTACAGTTAAGGGCTCTTCTTCAACCAAGCTGGTGCAAACAAAAATATTTCTGTTCCTTATGAGTTCCTTTTATAAATATTACCTTCAATAATCTGAAGTAAGCCATTTGAGGGGGGAAAGGATTTAAAAAGACGGTTTCATGCAGGTTAAATGCAAAGATAATAAAGTTACTCTGAAGAATAAACTTAGCTGTTGAGTTGATAAATGCATGAGAATATGCAGTGATAGGTTTCATGCCTAATTAAACAGATTTGTACTACAGTTCTCGTCTCAAGATAGAGATATTTAATTTTTCCCTGTTTCTTGATACTGTATTGATGCTAAAGAGTTCTTTATAGCTACAAGCTAGCCAAGACACCCACCCATTGTGGTTCTACTGAAAGACTATATGGTTTGAACTGACAGTTCTCTTGACAAGACTGAAAAAATAAATGATAACAACTATACATATGTTAGGACTCGGATGATTGAAATATATGTCTGAAAATTAAAAAAAAAAAAAAATTAAATGTAATGAACCAAAAACTAATCAGACAGAAGTGGAACTGTATCCCTCTTCGCTCATGCTTTGCTGAGAAAGTCACCACTCGAGCAGTTCTAAAACAAGTGGAAACAATATCTTATGATCTTTTAACTACTCTGTCTATAGCCAGTCCCATACTCAAATTCCAACAGGGACAACCTCTTCTGTTTTCAGTATTGAAGCTACCTTCACGTACCTCAAACCATGGGTATAGATTAACTGGTACATATGTTCTCCTGCTTGTAGAAAGATCTGACATCTTTCGTGGAGACCTCTTGCTTCTTTCTTTGTGTGATGATGAAGAGTAGGATAGCTTAAGCATGAAAGTAAGTTTCATTTCAAAACAGGAAGCTGTTATATTTTTAATGCAGTATCTTTCAAACTATTCCTACATTTCTTAGAATATGTAAATGTTACAAGTTTCATTGTCAGTAAGAATATGCTGGAGATGAACTCTACTAAACCAGGTGAAAAAAGCGTGCAATGCTTTTAATAATTATCAGACACATGAGTGTATGAAATAAAGTGTGACAGTTTTACACATAATTAGAAGGTGATATTCCTGTTGCATTTTTGCTTCAGGCAGCACAAATACAGCATAAGATTCTTACATATATTGAAACCAGATAAACTTACGATGTAGTCAAGAACATGAAGCAACCTTTAAAATCAGAGTAGGGGAGCCACAATTTTTTTGTGTAGTTTGGGGATGTTAATTAAGAAATTTCACATAACAAGCTGACAGTAGATTGTCTCCTGCTTTAGATTCAGCAGCCTGGCACCACTCAAGTCACCAACAAGGATGGAGTGACAAAGGAGGAACAGCGTCAAAAATGGAAGAAATAGAGGCTAAACACAAAGATTAAAATTGCGTTGCTTAGGAAATATGAGAATGAAAAGAAGAATGTCACCCAACAAGCAAGAAAGTGACATCCTTTGTAAAATTTTATTGACTATCTATCAGAAATAGGTCATTTGTCTTCTTTTCCCTTAGCAAAATTACTATAGCACCCAATCTCTTTTTTTTTTTTTTCCCCTACTGAAAGTATAGCTCACTTTGATTGTGGGCAGGGATTCTGACATTTGGAAGCCAAACACTGATGTGTATGTCTGTCACACATAAGCCTATCGGTGAAAGTGCTAGGCAAAAAAAGAGCAGAGAACTAAGTCTTTGAAAAACTGCATGGGAAAAGAAATTATCAGTAGTAGGGAAAAATAAGATGAATGTATAAGAAAGATGCTAAGATGCTGTGGGAGATAGAGTGGAGAGTGTTTTTATCCATCACTGTAACATTGGATTTTCTGTTCAAGTAGTGGGTCCTCTCACCTCTGGGAACACATCAAAGCTGATGGATTATTAATTGACTCTGTGAGAACAGAATTAATCTATTTTCAATATCCACTTTTTTAAAAGATAGCTGTCAGAGTAGCAAATGGAACACCCTCTAGGACAGGTGTCACACATTTATAGTAAGTAGCTCACAAGGTCATCTATAAGGTGTCATCATTGATACTTCCTATACTGAGGTACAAATGAGGAGCACATTCCCAATTTCTGTGGACATTGTTTAGTTTTTAATTTCCATTCCCAGACTGATAATAATCCACACAACCATGTCCAGAAAAATGTATTATTATATTCCCTCATTTCCCCACAATTAGTCTAACCTAAGCTTCACAAGAATACTCCATTTACCAGTATCTGGCATCCTTATGTAAAATAATGTGTCATTTGTCACCATGGCTTGTAATCTGAAAATATGACTGGGGAAATGATGGAGACCAAAATAGCCTCTTACAGTCTGTAGGTGGCCAAAAAATCTGCAGCTATATTCCATAATATTCCTTGCTGCTGTGATTTGTTTCTCAAGAGCTCTTGTCAATCTGTTTAAAATTCTCACTCACATAGGCCCAAAGAGAGACATGGGGGTTTGTTCAGACTGAAACTAAATATGCTTATATATTAAAATCCCTCTTTTCACACGTAAACAGGATATTAGCAATTCCATAAATTCTACATGAACTTTTACTTTGAAATTCGGGGGGTTTCAAATCATCTCAAAGCCTGGAGAGTTTAAGGCCATATACATTGAAACCAAACAGCAGAGAATCTCAAAGTGAAACTGAAATTCATAATTTTAATTTTGCTCCTTAATCCCAAATTTTACACGCAGCCTGTGCATCATATTTAGTACTGTTATTATTTATGCTAGCCTATAATTGGTTTGCATCTCATTAATGGGTAGTTTCAACTTAGAAGAGAATTTGGATAAAACTGTAACAAAGGATTTTAACTACTTTCAAGGAAATTATCTGCAGAGTTATCTGCCTTAGTAATTACTTTATTAAAATCAATTATCACAAATTAAAAAGGGACATGTAGCAAACCATAGGCTGTAAATAGTAGACTTTAAGAAAATTATCTTTTTCTGTATTATTCTCAGAAAAAAAATATTTGCATTATCACAATTATCCTATTTCACCACCAAAAGAAGATAAAATTCTCCTATATGCATCTAAAAATCAATTTTACACATTGCAAAGTTTGAAAGTAGGGGAGTGTTTTCCATTTAGAAGAAAAATAACTGATAAATGTCTCTTTTGAAAATAAATTAATTCTGCAGGATTTAAAAGTCTCCATAAGAAAACTAAAATATAAAAGTTACTAAGCATGGGAAAGAATTTATTTATTACCTTCACAATTTTTGAAGTGGTAGCTAAAAGACAAGACACTGTAATTCAAATGTGGGATGTAATCTTTGGATAATTTAATTGTTTAAAGCATTTTGGAATATATGTGGGTACAGCTGTAGTTTAATGATTACTGTGTTCCTGGCATTAAAGATCATTTACATATACTTGAGGCAATTTTTGTGGATGGAATGAAAGTCATAGTTTTGCCCCGAAGTTGAAGCCCTCTGGAA